TCACTAATGAAACAGAAAAATGCTAATTAACCATACCTTCAGTATGCCCACAGCCAATTAGAGTGAGAAGGCAAATTAAACCAATAAAGATGGCGGTTAATTTGCATACGCTGAGGGAAGGAGGAGTGAAGACTGAAGACAGCGTAGAAGGAAGATGAGAGAAAGGGGAAAGCAGGGCGGCTGCCAGAGGGAAAGCGCGGGCGGGGTGGGCGAGGTGGGTGAGGCTGTGGTGGCAGTGGTGGCCACTTGCAGGAATCTTCCTGCAACAGGCCCCTAGTTAAAAGAATAAAGATGGCCTTAGCTGGTTTGACTCGGTGGATAGAACGTTGTTGGCCTCTGGACTGAAGGGTCCCGAGTTTGATTCCCATCTAGGGCACATACCTGGGTTTCGGACTTGATGCGCAGTAAGGGGCATGCAGAAGGCAGCCAATCAATGGTTCTCCCTCATCATTGATGTTTTTTTAAAAAATATATATTTTTATTGATTTTTTACAGAGAGGAAGAGAGAGGGATAGGGAGTTAGAAACATCGATGAAAGAAAATCATCGATCAGCTGCCTCTTGGCACATCCCCTACTGGGGACGTGCCCACAACCAAGGTACATATCCTTGACCGGAATCGAACTTGGGACCCTTGAGTCTGCAGGCCGATGCTCTATCCACTGAGCCAAACGGTTTTGGCATCATTGATGCTTTTATCTCTCACCTCTCTGAAATGAATAAAAATATTAAAAATAAATAAATAGAAACGGAATAAAACTTCTAAACTACCAGAAAGGGAAACAATGGAATGATTAAAAGATAAGCAAGAAAGGAGAGAAAAATAAAGCATAAAACATTCAGACAACTAGATAAAATAAGCTTTAAACCCAAAATATGAATAATTGCATGAATATGATTAAATGCTTCAATTAAAAGCCAGGAAGATCATATTAAAAATGAACAAAACTAAACCGAGCCAATTTAGCTCAGTGGATAAAGCATTGGCCTGCGGACTGAAAGGTCCCAGGTTTGATTCCAGTCAAGGGCACATGCCTGGGTTGTAGGCTCGATCCCCAGTGGGCATGCAGGAGGCAGCCAATCAATGTTTCTCTCTCATCATTGATGTTTCTATCTCCTTCCTTCCTCTCTGAAATCAATAAAAATTTATTTTTTTTAAAAAGAAGAAAAATAGATGATGTTCATAAGAGATGTAAATAACCAGAAAAGTAGAAAGACAAAGACTAAAATGTCTTCACTAACATAAGTATTCAACATTTTAGTGTTCCCTCCTGAGCTTATCTATATCTATATCTATATATCTACAATATATCTATATCTATATCTATATCTATATCTATATCTATATCTATATCTATATCTATATCTATATCTATATCTATATATCTAAAAGCCTAAGCCACTGAGCAACTGGTTGACCTGTTGCTATGATGCGTACTGACCACCATGGGGCAGAAGCTCAATGCAGGAGCTGTCCCCTGGTGGTCAGTGCACTCCCCCAGCAGGAGCACTGCTCAGCTGACCAAGAGAAGCCAGATACAAGGCTCACTGCAGGTGAGTGCTGCTGCAGCAGCACAAGCCTCTCCTGATCATCAATTGGGACTCACCTGGCTAGGATGAGCGGGAGTGGCAGGCAGGAGGGGCAGGCTTCATTGGACTGCGAGTTTCGGCCTGATCCGCAGCCTGTCCTGCAGGGATTGGGCTGAAACTGGCAGTCAGACATTCCCTGAAGGGTCCTGGATTGCAAGAGGTCGCAGGCCAGGCTGAGGGACACCCCTTTTTCCCCTTGTACAAATCCATGTACCTGGCCTCTAGTAACATATATAATAGTGCATCCCTATTATGTATAAGGATATTAATTTGAACATTTTTCTTTCATTGTAAATAGTTTTCAAAGAATGACATTCCTAGTACTTGGAGTTGTTTGAATTTTGAGTTACCTAAATAACTGAATGGAAAAACTATTTTGTCAGTTACTGAAGGAAATGTGATTCTAAAATTATTGGCCTATTGTCAGAAATATATTTTATTTTAACTCTATTAATGATAACACAAGCATTATATGCAAATGCATATAACCCCAATCATATAATTGAAATGAAGTAATTCTTTTAACCTCGTTTTGTAGGCAAACTTTATAAACTTTTGCTTTACATTTCTCTCTTCCTCCTGCTTTTTCATTTATTTAAGCTGGAATTGTAAATCATATATATGCTTAATAAATAATCTACTACTTATAAAAAATAAAATAAAAAAAATAAAATTATTGGCCTAATATGTATTTTAAAAGATCCAGGAACTATGATTGCTATTTCATGTTAATTTTGTTGTTGTTAATCCTCACCCACGAACATTTTCCCGTTGATTTTTAGAGAGTGGAAGGGAGGGGGAGAAACAGAAACACCAATGTGAGAGAAACTGGTTGCCTCCCACATGAACTCGACTGGACTGGGGATCAAACAGGCAACTGAGGTATGTGCCCTTGATCGGAATCTAACCCATGACCCTATCCACTGAGCAAAACTGGCTAGGGCTATTTCATGTCACTTTTTTTGTTGATCATCCTAATAAAACTTGAGTTCCAAAGCAATGCATTTGAAATTTTAATGAAACAAAAATTTTTACCATTATTTCCTTTCAAAGTATCTAGAAGTACCTATGTCTCATCTTAAGGATTCCTATCTAACAAAGAAGGAATATGCAAATTGACCATCACATCATAACAAGATGGCTGTGCCCACAGCAGAGGCAGGGATTCTGTAACACAAGATGGCTATGCCCATGGCAGAGGCTGAGTTCCCATAACAAGCCTTAATGAGCAATCAGCAGAGACTTGAGCCTGCATGGTGCTGGGCCAGGGCAGGGGACCTGAGGCTGTACCCTCCACCTGGTGAGGTTTGACAGGAGACCTCAGACCAGGCCCCCTGCCCCAGCACTGGGCTAGGAGACCTCAGGCTGTGTCCCCTGCCCTAGTGGCAGGTTGGGGGGGACCTAAGGCCGCCCCCCCCTCCCCCCGCTTTTGTCCCAGCACTGGGCCAGGGGACCTGAGGCCGAACCCCCTGTCCAGTGGAGCTTGACAGGGATCTCAAGGTGTGTCCCCTATCCCAGCCTGGGCTAGGGGACCTCAGGCTGCGCACCCCGCCGGGCAGGTTTTGATAGGGGACCTCAGGCCTCCTGGCCTGGGCCATGGGTCCTCAAGGCATATGCCCCTCCCTGGGCAGAAGGACCTCAGGCCGTGCTCCCCACCTGGCGGGGCTTGACAGGGCTGGATCTAGCCCAATGGGGGTGGGGATGGTGGGGTCTGGGTCTCTCCCAATTTCTATGTGCATGTGGGTGGGTGGCGCACCCCAGACTCTGACAGGAGAGATTTTCATATACATTTTACTAATTGTTTTCATCTCTGATGCTTCTATTATAAAGGACAAATAGCAATATTAAAGTATTTCCTCTAGCCAAAACAGGTTTGGCTCAGTGGATAGAGCATCAGTCTGAGGACTGAGGGGTTCCAGGTTTGGTTCCGGTCAAGGGCATGTACATTGGTTGCGGGCACATCCCTGGTGGGGGGTGTGCAGGAGGCAGCTGATTGATGTTTCTCTCCCATTCATATTTCTAGTTCTCTATCCATCTCCCTTCCTCTCTGTAAAAAAAATCAGTAAAATATATTAAAAAATATTTCCTCTAATTAATTCCCTTTTAATGAGCATAGATTTCTTGCACCTGGTCACTAGTTATTTTATAAAAGAAAGTTAAAGCATCTGGGTAAAAAAAGTATACACACTTTGAATGATTGTAAAGTAAGTGTTTATAAACATACAGTTCGTTTTAAAAAAATTTAAAAGAATGACAGAAATATGAATAATTTCATCAGTGCCTGTTTTCAAACTGATGACCATTCTGGTCTAGACATTGACAATAACAGGAAGCAATGAAATCACAAACATCAAGAATAATTCCCTCAAGTATTTGTGTGCCCTCAATTCCTTTTTTTTTTTTTTTTTTTTTTTTTGTACCAGATCTTTTACGTCTCCCCATAAAAAAAAGTTCAGTGGCACTTTAGGATAAATTTTCTTTGTTTAAAGGTTAGGCTGGCTTCACCCATTATTTCAAATCAGTTGAATCTGAAAAGGAGTGAAAGTTAAGTGAATTATCAGCTGTCAAAGTGTATATATTTTTAGGGGACAGCCCCTATTTCCATTCAACATGAGATTAAGAAATAAATTGCTCCAAGTCCCACCAACGGTTTTGAATCCAAGGGGATGGCAAGCTATGAACCCACAGGCTTTCTTTCCCATTGCTGCTGATACAAAAGAAAGGCTTTAGTCTTCAAATTTCTCTCTCAGGCAGGAAAAAATTATCTCTGCAAGATCACCTCTTCTCAGGACACTGCTTTATCTTTATAGTTCCTAATTTAGACAACAGCTTCCTGTTGGTAAGTAGTGATCAAGCCGAAATGGATTACATCTCCTATTTTCTCTAGTGTATCAATTTCAGGTGTTATTTCCTTAATTTGACTTATCCCAGTTTGGGGGTGGAAATGGGGGCTGGACCCTTAAAAGTCTCTATGAAGGAACATGATCCAGATGTCCAATCTCCATGGCAGCAGTGAGAAAAAGGTTGGCCCCCGAAAAGGAGTTAATCGGCCAGTAAGTACTCATCGGGAATACGCCCGTTTTAGCCAGTAAGACCGCTAACCTCAGTCGAACCGACCTTCCAGGTCTCCACTCGTTTTGGACCCGGGACCACCCTCTGATATTTAATTAGGGTCTGGCTCGCCGGCGACGGTGCCGCGCAGCCGCCGGGAACGCGAGGCTTGGCGCCTCAGACGAATGCAACTCGAAGGTCCGGCGGAGCATCCGAATCTCGCGATATCTGGGAGGAAGGGGCGGGAAGGTCTCGCGTGCACGCGCACAAGAGCCGTTAGGGCGGAACCCCTCCTGGGCGGGGCGGACGGAGCAAATACAGTTGGACGCCGGTTGGCGGAGACCCGCCGAAAACGACTCAGCGCGAGCGGCGTGCGCGCTCACGTCGCGGCGACGGCGGTGGCGAGCGTCGTCAGAGCTGGAAGGGGGGGCGGACGGCTGCTGGCGGGTGGCGGCGGTGTTGGAGGCGAGAGCTCGCTTCGCCCTTATCGCTTGTCTTGGGACTTGGACAGAGATTGAGGGGGACGAGGGTCCTTCGCGTGGGGGCTCTGTCGTCCGCGTACGCGGGTGGTCGTCAGGAGCGCAGCCCGGAACTCCGCTGTAAATCCTCCGGCTCCTTTCCCGCACGCCTCGAGGTGGCGGCGGCGGCGGCGGCGGCGGCGGCGGCGGCAACCAGAGAGCGTCTCACCTTCCCTCAGCCCTTCCCCTTGTCCCCCCCCTCCCGAGAGGGCCCGGCCTGCGCCCCACCCCCGCCTGTCCACCCGCCCGCTACGCCGCCGCCATGTCGGCGCAGGCCCAGATGCGCGCGATGCTGGACCAGCTGATGGGCACCTCCCGGGACGGTAAGTCTCCGCCGGTGCCCTGGGGGTGGGGGAGGGGACGGGGAAGGCGAGGGGAAGGGGCTCGGCGGGCGCACCTGGGCCGCTGTGTGTGTGGCTGAGGAAGGGGCTCCCAGATTGGTAACACGAGGTCCCGGCTCCGCTCCCATCCAATCAGCGCTGGGCAGCCGGGCCGCGGGGGCGGTGTCCGAGCGGATTGGCGGGAACTGCTGCCAATGGGGTTAGGCGGGGCCTGAAGGCTGAAGGGAGAGTTTGAGCATTCAGTGTTGACTTGGCTGGGACGGGAGAGCCCACGTCTCCCTTGTGTAGTTAGGGCGGCCCATTTTGTGGTCGAATTAGTACCTGCGGACCGCTAGAGACTCCGCCCCCTGAACTAATCCCTAACCCAGAGTTTTGATATCTTTTCTCGCCGCCGTCCTCCGGAGCATCCAGAGAGAACTCTCCCCCTCCCCAATCCTCCACCTCGTCCACCCCCTGTTAGTTGAATCCGGAGGAAACCTTTCCTATAAACCCAGTCCTAGAAATGCACTCTCCTCCTCCCCCTCCAGAAACAGCCATTCTTATGAAAATATCTGACCCAAACCATGGTTTCTTGAATGGGTGTGTTTAGCCCCATTTTATGAAAAAAATATGCCCCCCCCCCGAAAGACCTCCATTTTGTTAGACAATTTAATAGAGGCTTTGTTCAGATAATTTGAGAAATCTTGCATGTGCCCCAACTAGAACCATTTTGAAAATGTGCCCAGTGAAGTAGATGGAAGGAAACGATTCTTTTAGGTACTTAGGTTAGAATTTGTATAGAAAAGCACTGATTGCTGGATATCTTTTTGTCATAAAGAGAATTTCTAAGTAAGATGATGAAATGCTGTTGCTTTTTTTGTTGATGATAATTAGTAATGTATACTCAAATTCAGCTCAAATCCATGCTACTTTGGAGGAAAAGATGTAGTTCAATAATTTCTGAAAATGAAATAAAATATTTGTTTATTTTCATATGTTGCTTGACCTGGTAAATAGTTTCTTAACCATTGAAGAAATGCTTTTTTTCTTAAGTTATTCTTATGCTTGATGTGAGAGAAAAGACACTTAAAATTTTAAGTCGCTCTAAAGTGCTTTGCAGCAAAATATGTGTGTAGGTTTTTTTAAAATTTATTGAGTTCAAATATTTTTGGCAATGCATATTTAAAGAATGGCTTTTCAGTATTCACATTTCAGTTTTTAAAAAAATATATATTTTATTGATTTTTTACAGAGAGGAAGAGAGAGGGATAGAGAGATAGAAACATCAATGAGAGAGAATCATCAACATCGACCAGCTGCCTCTTGCACATCCCCTACTGGAGATGTGCCCGCAACCAAGGTACATGCCCTTGACCGGAATCGAACCCGGGACCTTCCAGTCCGCAGGCCAACGCTCTATCCACTGAGCCAAACCGGTTTCGGCCACATTTCAGTTTTAATTAAAAGCCATATTGGGAACTTTTCTTTGTAGATCACATAGACCACATGTGTCAAACACAAGGCCCGAGGGCCAAATCCGTCCCGCCAGGCCTTGCAATGTGGCCTGCACCGCGCTGTCATCACTGCACTCCGCTGCGTTTCCATCACAATGACAGTTTATGACTGTTCAGTAAACCATTCGGCCTGCGAATTAGGCTGGATTTTAGATTTTGGCCCCTTCTCTGATTGAGTTCAACACCCCTAACATAGACAAATTGGTGTAGATGGCAAACATACTTGTGGAGGGGAAGATTGGGAAGGAAATAATTTTATTTGTGTAGTAAACCCTTGACAGTTAACATTAATTTGAAACACCGCAGGAGAAACTTACCTGTTACTATTTTTTCACCTTTAGATAAGAATGGCCATTTTGTGTCTGCAGCATGTCTTAACATTGCTCCTTTTTTATTATGAAGACAAAATTGTGCAGGGGCTTACTATAGGATTTTAGCTGACAATAACCTTTGTAATGAAATTACAAAAGTCATTTACATGATCTTTTTAGTCCTACTTGGATACCATTTTTGGTACTTTCTGCATGGATTGGATTTCCTAATTTTACTAGGCAGGTAGTTTGATCAAAATACTCTTACTGTCAGCTGATAAATTTCCGAACTAGGCAGCTAATGTAGCATTGCCAAGCTAAACCAAAAATGTGTGTATTGTATGTAGTCAGCAGAAATAGGGATTTCTTAAAATCCATTCTGTTTTGTGTACAAATAAATTTTTATTTTTTGTGTGTGTTACTGGATTTTTTATTTTTTGCCTCCAGACTAAAAGGATTTACCAGTGAATTCATGTTTATGAGTCCATAATATTATGTAGTTGAATGACTGAATATTCACTGCTGTGTTGGGCCAGAAGCAAGAAACATACTATTTTCAAGGAAAAGAATGTTTTTAGATACATAATTCTTTTATGTGTATAAGATAATAATCAGAACATTCTTTTCCTTCTTAACAGAAACCAGATAGTTAATGAGTTTACATGTTTTATTGTATGACTTAAGACCTTTAAATAATTAGGATTGTTCTTTTTTTTTTTTAGCATATAGTCAACTTCAGTTATTCAGGGATAGAGAAAATGGATATGTTCTTCAATAAGATCATGTAATTTGAAACTATATAATGGGAAGCCTTGTATTGGACACAGCTTACAGGGACTGCTGTTGGTTGTCTTTGGCACTTAGAGGTGGATTTGGGGATCCAAGAGGTGGGAGAGAGATGGAAAAGGTAGGTAGGAGGTATTTAAGGCAGCCCTGTTTAAAAAAAAAATTTTTTTTTAAATTTAATCCTAGAGACCACTGTCTTCTAGGATAGTGGGACACAAGGTGACAGTAATTTCCTCAACCTTTAGTGTCCTGAGAATACCTTCCACCTCCCCCGTCCCCAGTAAAAGACTCCTTTGCTCCTCCCCCAAATCTTTTTAATTTTTCTTTAAACTCCTTGGAGATTTAAGTCTGTTAAATGTACCTTATTTTGAATTATTTAAATCATTTAGGAATCATTTAGGAATTTTAATGGCAGGGAAATGGAGAGGTAATTTTTGATCACTGGGCACTTCCAGAAAAGACAGTCCTGGGTGAGTGGTGGCAGTGGGGGCTTTGGACAACCAGAGGGCAGCATGATGGTGCTGGGAGGCTGGGCCGGGGGATGAGTAGGAGGTGGGAGAGGAATGTATAAGGGAGGTGGGAGGGCCAAAGACAAACTTTGCCTTCTTTGCAATTTTGCCTAGGGCCCTGGTGGTGGCAACCGCCTGTGTGCCACTGAAAATCGTGCCGATGCCTGGCATACTGCATAAGTGGAAGCAGGGTACCGCGTGAGTTGAAACATTGGTCACACTATATAAAGTTTGTATATGTGAATCAGTGTAACTCATACCCATGTAACTGGGGGTCTGACTGTATTTGGATTTTTCTGATAAGGCATCATGGGCTAAGGAAAAGAGCACTGGGCTGAGACTCAGGAGACCTGGTTTCTAGCCCCAGCTGTACCTCTAATTGTAATCTTGGGTAAGTCACTTAACCTTTAACCTTTTTTCCCTCAAGTTAAATCTGTAATTTGTTAATTGGGAAATCGAGCAATTTCCTATGTTACACTAAAAAAATGTTGGAAAAACATATTTACAGTTTTTTAGAAGGGAGCAACCATAAGTAGGTATATATGTATCATTTTATATGAAGTATATAACATAAGTTAAATTTTACAAATATCTTTGTTTTAGTTGTTAGCATTAAAAGAAGGGAGAGGGATAATTGATTTTTCCTGAACATAATCCATTTGAAAACAAGGAACAGGAAAGCAGCCTAGGGAAATTCAAGCAGTTATTAGAGACTTGTCTGTTTGACACTTGGGGGAACCAGGTGTCCTCACACAGACTATAGTCATTTGTGCTGAGTTGGGTTAATTGCAAGGATGTCCCTTAGCTAAAGCCCTTTTGCCAACAAAAACAGTTTTTGGTTATTATTAAGTCTCTGGTTCTGACCGCAGACAGACATGGCAGAGCACAAGGATAGGAATGAATTAAACTTGAGGGTGTGACTTTAGATAACATTCTTAGTTTATTAACTAAGAAAGTTACAGAACGTAGTTTCGAGGATTTCATACATATTAATTGCTATAACCTTTAAATGGGATCAGAGATCGTCTCTGAAAGGCTAAACCAAGGAATGAAAATCTGCCCTGAAAAATAATCAGTAGACTAATAGTATGTAACATATAGAATAGAATTTTTTAAAAATATATATATTTTATTGTGTGTTTTTTTACAGAGAGGAAGGGAGAGGGATAGAGAGTCAGCTAGAATAGAATTTTATAACATTATTGGTTGCCCATTATGATTAGGGAGTATAAGGAGCAAGTGAAAGTTTTCAGATAATTCTAGCCAATTTATAAAAACTTTTACTAATGAATACTTTTACTAATGAATATTTTTTGTTTTGTTTTTGTTGATTTCAGAGAGATGAGGGGAGAGGGAGAGAAAGGTAAAACCATCAGTGATGAGAGAAAATCATTGATTGGCCTCCTCCTGCATGCCACCTACTGGGGATTGAGCCAGAAATCTGGGCATGGCCCTGACCTGGAATTGAGCTGTGACCTTCTGGTTTATAGGTTGACTCTGAACCACTGAGCCACATCAGCATGTCAATTTTAGCTCTTTTTGAGGGTCATCGTCCTAAATATGATGCTGTACTTCCTCAGTTAATACAGTACATTAATTAGAATTAAAATATTTTAAATACATATATTTTTGTTGATTTCAGAGAGGAAGGGGGGAGAGAGATAGAAACATCAATGATGAGAGAATCATTGATTGGCTGCCTCTTGTGTGTCCCACATAAGTGATCAAACCCCCAACCTGGGCATGTGCCCTGACAGGGAATTGAACTGTGACCTCCTGGTTCATAGATCGACACTCAACTATTGACCCACTCCAGCCAGGCAGAAATTTTTTTTTTATTTTTTTTTTTACAGAGAGGAAAGGAGAGCTAGAAACATCAATGA